CTTAGACATTCAAGGAATTATCAGAGATATTTTACATATTGAAAGTGCAAAGGACAAAATGTTGGAAGTTGATCCAAACTTAGAAAGTACGGCAATTCACCAGAGCATAGACAAGATGTTTGCTCTGTAACATATGCTATATAATAAGAAGACAGCATGCACGGTTCAAACTACTCTTGACAGTTTTACAAAAAATAAAACACTCTAAGTCTCAATATTTCTAATGTTTTAAATTACAGTGTAATAAATATATTTGTTTTACTCTTTTTTTCATTTCCCTACACATTTATAACTGGAAATATGAGAGTGTTTCATGTCTTGACAAAAAATTAAAAGTCACGGAACAATTGTGATTTTTTTCCAACTTATTATTAAGGTTGCTCTGCACGGTTGCAGATATAATGGTCATTTACAGTCCCACACTACCATGCAAAGCCAGAATGATCTGTATTTAAAAAAAAAAAAAGAAAAGAGAAAAGAAAAGAAAAAGCTTATCTGCTAATACTTATCAGAGGCGCAATCCCAGGGCAAGAGTGAAGGCGATATTATCAGTAACTGCCCTATGGAGATTGGAGTCACAAGGAGGTATTCTTCTGATTACTTGTGGTCTGAAAGAAATAATTTGAAATAAGGTTTCTCTTGCTATATAAATTTTAAAATGGAAGGTCTGGATAAAATGGGAAGATTCAAGCAGAATGTTTGTATCTTCCTTTTATCTTTAAACTTGAATCTGTCAATGGAGAAATAACAAGAACATCATCTCACAGTGCAATCCCAACAGCACAACATTAACCCAACCCTAAACCCAACCCTAATCCCAACTTCTTGGAGTATAAGGACAAATCTGAGAAACACCCAGAGACCTTTTACTTCTCCCAATCTGTCTCCTGCTTATAAGAGCTGGAAGTTGGAGCTTTTTTGAAGTAGCTGAAGATGATGTTGGGTCTCCTCTTTCACCATTATTTTCCTGCTTTCTCTCATGGGAAGGGGGAGAAAAATTAAGTTCCATGCATCCTTTCTTTTTCTCTGAGATTCAACACCACCACCACCACCACAATTCCAAGATCTATGCTATTCTCTTGAATGAAACTTGTAGTCCTGTGTTTAGAAGGAAGTAGATACAACCCAACCCTGCAAGGGCTGAGAGTGTGGGAGGGTACTGAATCCCTTAAGTGTTGCCCTGATGACTCAGCTTTTCTGGGCTCCAAAATTGCCAGGAGAATGAGCTTGAGCTCTCAGCAAAAAATAATTCCTCAAAATTAGCATATGAGTGGTTTCTCCCGTTGTCGATGGGAGTTCAATAACCATAGTGATGTTTCACAAATATTATATGTTGGCTAATTGAACATAATAAAAAAATTTCTCAAATCCTGGGGAGCAGGGTTTTCCAGCAAAGCTTTTTCCCTTTTAAAAATAATACTGGAGAAAGTCTTAAGCCATAGAATATTAATGTTTTATTTGAGATACAGAGTCAAGAGAGTTTATCCCCTGTGATTTTATCTTACTTGGACCTTATTCCAGAAAAAAAAAATTTTTTTTTGCAAAGATGCCCTAAATGTGATTTGGGAAAGTTTAAGCTGCATGCCTCTACTTCAACTCAGATGTTAAACCTGTTTACAGATACCCAAATTCAGCTGACTGTAAGAAATGCAAGAATATCAGTTTAAGGGTTTACTTCTCAACAATATCAGTACTTGTTTATTCCAAGTGTTGCTTAATGTTATCACTAATTAACATTATCAGAACCAAACACATAACCAAAATACATATGTAAAAATACATTTTCTGCCTAAATGTCATATCTTTAAATTATCAAATTTCTGAATAGTATTATCCAAATCTTGGACACAGTTTTGTAAGATTTTTACTAGGGTTCAAGTGGAAGGAAGAAAATGAAGGTCTATTCCAGAAACTTGTTTAGCCAGCAAGATATTTTTGTATATTTACAAATTTATTTTTTAAATATTTGGTTCTTCTCAGTCTAAACTTTTACATTTTCTAATGTTTTGTTTTGTACACAGTCTATTAGGGTAGTAACACATATATTATATAAATAAGTAAACATACATTGTAGATCCATGTCCAAAATGTTTTAATGTTAGGGGTCTGTAATAAAAATAAATTGTGGACCACTGCTTTAAAGAAATTTCCATTTAGAGAGTAGATGAATGACATATTTTTAAAAGTTGTAAGTGATGGGTGCACCTGGGTAGCTCAGTCGGTTAGGCATCTGCCTTCGACTCAGGTCATGATCCCAGGGTCCTGGGATCCAGCCCCATGTCGGGCTCCCTGCTCAGTGGGGAGTCTGCTTCTCCCTCTCCCTCTGCCTGCCACTCCCCCTGCTTGTGCTTTCTCTTTCTCTCTCTCTGTCAAATAAATAAATAAAATCTTTAAAAAAAAGTTGTAAGTGATGAATCACTGAATTCTATTTCTAAAACCAATATTGCACTGTATGTCAATAAAAATTTAAATAAAAAATTTAAAAATAATAAAAAAATAAAAGTTGAAGGCTATGGTACATCTTTGAAACAGGTACGTTGACCAAAATTTTGATCCACATATTAGCTGAAAACACTAATTTCTATTGGAATTGAATATCATTAGTATCTTTTCTTAAAAGATATTTTATTTATTCATTTGAGAGAGAGAGAGAGAGGAAGCGAGAATGTGAGCAGGGGAGAGGGTCGGAGGGAGAGGGAGAAGCAGACTCCCCACTGAGAAGGGTGCCTGACAGGGGGCTTGGTCCCAGGACCCCAAGATCATGACCTGAGTTGAAGGCAGCCACTTAACCAACTGAGCCACCCAGGCGCCCCTGTCATTAGTATCTTATATTAAATCAATCAGTCAACCATTAGCCAACTAACTCATAAACCCTCGATCTTTATGGAAGTTCCTTTCCTTATTAACTAGAATCTCTGAAGGGCTTAACGTCACAAAAAGTCAACTGAAAAAAATCTATTCATCTATCAAAGACTAAATGAACCAATCAACTCTGCCAGAAAGTTGGATGTTTAGTGAAATATTCCTTTATCTAAGTTATTTGACATCATGCATTGGAAACAACAAATTGAGTGAATTTGTGATTTTCCTACCTATCCTCTTGTCATCATTGCAAGACATACATAAATCCCACCAAAGAATTTACTCTTCATCTCAAGTAGTCCAAGCTCTTTCGTTAAGCTGAAATTCAAGCATGATCATTTTGTGACAGTTGTTTTACTTCTAGTAAGATTAATGTTTAGTGCCTGTGGTGAACCACAATTTGCCCTTCATTATTCATAATTTCTAATTGTATACAATATAATTATTGTTAAATAGAGATAACACTGGGAAAATGAAAGAATAAACATTTTCTATTTTAGATACTGATTGCCCCAAATAATAATTATTGTCATCACAATGTTACCAAATGTTAAAATGGGACTCTTTCCATCTCAGTTTCTGCTCAGGCCCAATAGGTGTTACTCTTCCCTCATTCCAAAGTGAGATGCTATGCCATTAAAACAGGAACAAAGGAGATACATAAGAATTAGTTTTGCAACCCACTGGTGACCACTTCCAGCTTCTAAAATGGACTGCAGAAACTAAGAGATGGGTTGTAGATTAGAAGAGGACTTTTAAAGTGTTACCACTGTGTATGACAGGGAGAGGTACTCTCCCCTCACCTCCAGCCAAGGGAAAGTGGCTCCAAGGGCATCGATATCTTTAATAGGACAGCTTGAGGACACCATACACCAAATCCAGGCCTATACCTGGGAAATCTAGAGTAAGAAGGACAGGTTGCCTAGCTGTTTTGATGGCAGAACAAGAGGAGAGTCTATACTGGAATGAAACTGACTCTTGTCACAGCAAAGAGCATGAAGAGCTTCCCATGAACCAATACAGACTGAGAAAGAGACCTAGCATGGTATTGTTTCACATGATGGCCAAGAGACCTCTGGAGGTTGGGGAGATCTCTGCAAAAGGAGTCTGGATGCGTTCCCTCAGATGGCACGAGCAATGTAATTGTCCACCACCAAGGACTACTGTGAGAAATTCCCAGTGATGACAGAGTTCTCCGAAGGACCCTCCAAAGCACCCCACAAGAGAGAGAGCCTCAAGTACCAGAACAGAACCAGACTTTGTCTGACCCTTAACTCCTCGCCTTCCCTAGGCTTTACTTGGAGGGACTAAAGGCAGGGAAATAGAGGAAACAGCTCAACGTCCCTCTTCCCTCTAGAGGGGGCCAGCTTGAATTAGGCATGAGCTGGAAGGAAGAAGGGTGTTAACTTGCAGTACATTTCTTAAAGTTAAAAAAAGTCATTATTATTATTACACATTATTTTACTGAGACTCTTAGGGGAGGAATAAAGTAAGCACAGAGGATTGTTTTTAATTTTATTTTCTGAAAGTTACTAGAAAAGCCACAAGGCCCATTGTATTTGGGACAAGTAAAGAACAAATCTCCCAGAATAGATTTGAAGGGCGGTAGGGTAAAAAGAATGAAAATGTTTTCTATTGTATGGACATTGTAAATTCTGTTTGTATAATCAATCATATAATCAATCAATAAAAGAGCTAAAATTTATCGAATGCTTATTATATGCCAGGCATTGTCTGATTTCCATGCATTAAATCATTTCATCCTCACAACCCTATAAGATTATTATACTCATTTTCTAGGTGAGGGAGAAATTTAGGTGCAGAGAGAGATTAGGTAACTTGTCTGAAGTTGCACAGTTAGTAAGTGGCAAAGCCCAGCAAATGGCTATTCCCAGCAAATAAGAATTCAACTCCTTCCTCAAAGGTTTCTTTTCTCTCAACATCCAAAATATTGGATATCTAAAATGCAAACCAAAGCCATATCAATTTTAATGCATTAGCACTTTGCAGAGACACATGAGGCTCCATGTGATTTGCTATGTTTTGTTTCAAGAATAAAACAATGAATCACCATAGGTCATGGGTTTTTTTGTCTTAAATATATATTTCTCTTTCTTTTTCTTTTTTCTTTTTTGTAGATGTGGACAACCACTACAAAATAAAGTACAGCTGAAGGGTCGTGACCTCCTCACTCTAAAGAACTTTACAGAAGAAGAAATTAAGTATATGTTATGGCTATCGGCAGATCTAAAATTTAGGATAAAACAGAAAGGAGAGGTATGTAGCATTTTCATCTTACTTTCTGATACTACCAACCAGCCTTTTTAAAGACAGCCTTTCCGAAGAAGGAGGGGAAAGAAAATATATTAAAATTCCTAAACAGTAGCTAAGTAATGAAATCACACAGTCAAGGTAATTGATTATCACTGAGTGTACAGACATATAAAAAGCATAAGAATCAGTTATTCAATGACAAGTCATTGCACTTCTTTCATGTGGAATGTTGAAATTCATTATTAATTGGATCAGAACCTAAGGAACCATTTCTCTGGAAAGATTTTATTTTTATACCTTCATTCTTGTCTCTGTGTGTTTTCTATCAAGTTAAAAATAAGGATGATACTTTTTTTCCTGGCAAAAAATTTCAGTTGTGAATAACTATCAGCTATATGATCATTAGGATAATGTCCAAAAATTCATAGTGATGTGACAGTGTTAAAAATAATTTAGATTAGCAAAGAAACAATTAAGTGGTAACCAAGTAGGAGAAGAGATGGGATATGGTACTTAGCGGTAAGCATTATTCTGCATTTTGAGCAATTTATGTTTGAAACACACTTAATTAATGCAGCAGCTTCATTTAGGCTGCTTAATTGTGAAAGCATTTTCGTGTTCCAAGCTGGTTCAAAAGCACTTTAAAGAGCTGGTTTCAGGTTGAGGAAGTTTTACACAACCTTGGTTCTCTTATCTAGTTCATTAGCTCTCCAAGTTTAGAAAACAGGAGTGTCTCCAACTATTATGAGTTGACATTCCCATATAAGACCTGAAATAAGGAGAAAAGGTCCCCCACTACCCCAGGCCTATTCTTCATACTTTGTGTGTAAGGAAAGTTAGCTGGCAGGAATCTATTTGTTCCAGAACTCATCCTATCGGGAAGTCTATCTACGAGAAGAGGAAGGAGGAAAAGCCCCACCCCACACCCAAACTCTCCAGATCATTTCCAAATGATTTCCAGAAACAAAGCCTTTGCACTCCCACAAGGATGCATGATTAAAGTGTAGTTGGGGCTTCATCTTTAGGAGTCTTAATGCCCCATGTTGTGACAGAGTAGCATTGTTTCTAGCTGAGAAAACACTTCTGAACCAAGCATCTTCAAGGTCATTGAGCATTGATATGGGTTTCCATGGATTTAGGTAAAAAGATGGCTCCAGTTGGAAATATTAAGATACTTTGGAACAAGTGTTCAGGTTGAACACAGAGCAACTAATATTTTCTAATTACAAGTCAATAAGCTGTAGGAGTTTTCCTGTTCCCTTCCTCCACTTGTATAGAACATGAAAAAAAAAAAAACACTTTAAATTCACTTTTTAAGTAATATTTTGAATGCTTATTTGGAAGCAGTGATTAATTATTCTACATCTTCTGGTAATGTAAAGAATAACTTTTGAAACATAATCTTTGATATTGGATATAAAATATTTTTCATTTTAATTGTATTCTTGTCCTTAATTTTCAGTATTTGCCCTTATTACAAGGGAAGTCCTTAGGCATGATTTTTGAAAAAAGAAGTACTCGAACAAGACTGTCCACAGAAACTGGTGAGTCCCCAGACAAACTCGCACTTATGCTGAAGAGGGGGCCAGAGGGTGAGGATTTGGGAGGAGTTGCCCAGTGGGGGAATTTGTCTGTCTTGTTAGCAAGCACAAAGGGAAAACACTGTCACTGGGAGTAGCAGTGTGAGCCTCTGAGTGTTCTTTCCAATTCTCAAAGAAGCTGTAAGCAGAAAGATTAGCGTCATCTGTAGGAATTCCATGAAGAATTGATTACAAGTCCCAAAGAGCTTTTCATGTTCAGTACAAAATATGAGTGGACACAAATTCTCAGCCTTCAAACTCATGTGGGTAAGAAATGTGTCCTAATAGGTAAAGAATTTTTTCTTGCTTGCTCCAATTTTGCAGGATGGTGGAAACCGAATCTCTGCAATGTTTGGCATCCTCAGTCATTTCAGGGCTTACTTTGTCAATGTAGGCTCTCTTCTCCCTTTCCCCACAGTCATGGGTAAGCCCTGGAGAGTATGTGAAGGAGATGTCTAGAGCTATGGGAATCTGAGCGTTGGTAGTCAGGACATCATCATCAGATATCCACACTGGAGTCCACTGGGACTTCTATATCCCCATTGGACCTTGGCTGTCTCCCATTCACTGGAGTTTGCTTCACTTGGATCACAAGACCTGAAATGTTTCTTGGTTTGACTCTCTCAACCCTTGGCAGCTCTCCATGTCATACTGGGTACAGAGATACTGCAAGGCTTTCTCTATCCTTCCTTCTTCAGGCTGAGTGCCAGGGAGTTCTATAACATGTGTTGCCTCCTAGAGCTCTGTCTTAAAAATGAGACACAGGTGTTATCAACTCTGGGGTTCCCCAGACTCATCTGAAATTTCCATCATGCTTCCCACCCCTCAGTAGTTGGCCTGGGGGGGCAGACAGCAGGGCACAGTGTCAAAGGTCCATCAATTTCTATTTCTGTTGTTGCTTCTCTCTTGCTTCTCTTTTTCTGCTCTAAGGTCCCAGTATTGGAGGCTAGGTGATGAAGCAGGAAGAAAAAACTGGCTCTGACTATCCAAGATTTCTTTCAAATCTACTGTTTGTGCCTGGAATCGTAAGCTATTGAAACTCAAAATTTCTTTTTTCTCAAACTATTATCTCTGTTATGTTTCAAAAAGTCCATTTTGAAACTCATAAACCACATATCACCTCTTTTCTTTTTCTCTGCCTTTCTGCTCTGTCAGATCTCCCTTGAATCAATAACATGACTGCCCAAATGGACGAATGGATAGGATCAAAAAGGAGGTACCACAAACAAAAACACATTGGTTAATTCTTCAAATATTTCATCCTATCTACAAGCATCAGAGCTTTCTAGGGTTAGTTAATTAATTAATTAATTAATTTTAGAGAGGGAAAGAGAGAGAGGAGGGGCAGAGAGAGAATCTTAAGCAGGTTCCATATCCAGGGCAGAACCCAACGTGGGGCTCGACCTCACAACCCTGAGATCATGACCTGAGTTGAAATCAAGTCAGACGCTTAACAAACTGAGCCACCCAGGCGCCCCATAAGAGCTTTCTAGGGTTTAGAAGCAAACAACTATTTTACGCAGTTCTTGCCTTGTAATAATCAGTAATGAGGTTCATCAAATATATAACAAAATAAAGTTCAGAGGGATTAAGTGACTTGGTAATACAAATAGCACCAGGATACAGATCTCAAGTTCACTGTTCTTACTAATGCACTCCCCTTGCCCCTGGAGAGAAGAAAGGAGGGTGAGAAGAACCATATAAGGTGTCACCTAGTCTTTAAGTCTCAGGAAGAAAACAGATGAGAACATTTTGCTCTTTAAAGATGGCTCCTTTAAGAAATCATGTTGACATTTGAGGGAAAATGAATATTGCATAAACCAGTCAGTAATTCTCATATTCTGCTCCTTTTCAACGCCAGCCTTCTATGAGTTGGGCAGAATTTTATTTTATCATTAGTACTTAAGAGAGGTGTTCTTTTTTGAAGTCATCAGAAGAATGGATTAATACATAGACATTTCTCAATTTTAAGGTTTTTAAAATTAATTTTTCTTAGTTGTTGGTGTTTTCTGCAACTTTTCTCTGTTCAGATGCTATGCTATTTTTGATGTCAAATATCCCTGAATAAGTGATCAGTTTTACCATTCACATATAATGTGGTAGTTAAGCTATTAATAAAACTAAGAGTGAAGACTTAATAAGCCTTCGGGTGCAGACCCTGTGCCAAGTGCTCTACATTAATTACAGGGATTATCTCATTTAATCCTTATGAAAATTCCATGAGGACAAGACAATTGAGGAAAACAGGCTGAAACGGGTTCAGCAAATGGCCCACAGACACATAGCTAATAAATGGCAGACCTAGGATTGTAAGCTATGATTAAATGTATTTTTTAAGGATCTAATTTAATTTGAACAGGTAATAGTCATGTTTTATTCCAGTAAAATTGTTTCTACAGATGGCATTAAGCAGTTTGTTGGATGATGGTTTTGTATCTAGAAGCGCTCTAAAACTGGCACAAAATTGCAAACTGTAACAACAAATACATGAGAAAAGCAACATCTGACCATAAAAAGTTATGGTTCACAGAGTATTCATCATTATCTTCAATAAATATCCATGAGTCTAATTGTACATGGCATCCTGCCAAACTCAACAGGAGGAGAATCTGTCAGAATAAGTAGTTGCTTTAAATGCTTACAGAAACAGTAAACCTCAACCAAACCCATAGCAGAGCATTTCTATAATGTGCATGTGCATCTTATTTGTTGTCCTTTGGCACAATTTTCCATCAAAACCTGTTACCTTGGTATTTAGAATGAAAGTAGGATGTAATTAAAACTGTCTATTATTGCCTCAGACTTGTGCCAGCCTCCTCATAGGAAAGTCCTTGAGGATTCCATCCCCAGCCTGAGTTGCAGAGATACAACCGTATTTCTACTTATCTCAGGGGACAGAATAAAATTCGCCACTTAACTTAAGCCATCTGAATTGTTCATGTAATATTTTTATTAAAGTGTAACATGCCTACAGAAAAGTGCACAAATCCTGAAGCTCACATAGTTCAATGAATTCTTACAGTAAACACATCTTCGTAATTAATACCCAGAAAGAGAAACAGGACATTAAGAGTGCCCAGAAGCCTCCCTTGTATCTCCTTCTAGTTGCTACTCCCCCTACCCAAGGTAACCATGATCCTGGTTTCTAACATCACAGGTTAGTTTTGCCTGTGATGGAATCATTCAGCATATGCTCCTTTCTGTGTGGTTTCTTTTGCTCGGCATTATGTTTGTGAGATGTACCGACGTCGCTGTGGTAGTTGTAGATCATTCATTCCTCCCCCATTCTGTGTGTATGCCTGCCAGGCAAACTGCAATTCTCCTATGTGTCTACCAATGATTATATTCTTTTATTGCAAATTAAGTGAGCAGATAGAAGGATACATTTATTAATCTTGGTAAGTGCTGTAGCTGATAGAAAAAATGCACAAGGCATCCTAAGAGATGGTTCTTTTCATTATTTAACTTTGGTATTTCACTTTCAAGGTGACAGAGAAGCTGGTGCTTTCCAAGCTATTTCAAATGCATCATCTTTACAAAGGTGACAATGTAAAAAATCGTGATGCTATACTGCAGGTATGAAAGTGAAGCACAGAGAGGCTCATACTGCCTTAGTTCTACCAGCAAGAGCCCTCAGAGCCCTCACATTTCCAGTGCATGACTTCTGTTTAAATAGAAATAAAGCTTGCACAGATCTGTGAGGAAAAGAGAAAAATCAGATGTACACTTATTTTCCCAGCCAGAACCTAAGATATTAACAGAATAAACCCTTTGTTCAAAAAATATCCAACATGCATGCATAAACAAATGACAGATAAAAGCAGACTTCTCTGGATGAAGGGTGAAGAGAGAGGCGAGCCCTGTCCCTCTGCCCTCCTCTCCTCAGCAATGGCGGCTCCAAGAGGTGGCTCTGAACCCCTGGTACTCTCCAGAAGCACTTATCACTAGCCAGGTCTGAGAAGCTGGCAAATGCTTGACCTGTGCTTTTAAACTGGGGTCTGAGGCTTCTTTCTGACAAGTGACCACAATTGCAGAAGAAATTCCTTCTCAGAGGCAATGTCCCCCCATCTTATCTCCTTCGAGAACTGCTGAAGGCTTGGACTCTTACTTCTTTTTTTTTTTTTTAAGATTTTATTTATTTATTTGACAGAGAGACAGCAAGAGAGAGAGAGCACAAGGAGGGGGAGTGGGAGAGGGAGAAGCAGGCTCCCCACTGAGCAAGGAGCCCAATGAGGGGCTCGATCCCAGGACCCCGGGATCATGACCCGAGTGGAAGGCAGACGCTTAACGACTGAGGCACCCAGGCGCCCCTTGGACTCCTACTTCTTAACATTTTCTATAACCCCTCTCCCTACCCCTACCTCATAAGTCCAGGCTTGATGTGAGTCTTCCTTGTAGAACAAAGAGGAAAGGGAAAAGGCAGCAACCTAATCCTGCATTGTTATAGCAAAATGACTTCTAGTCGAAGTAAGAGTATGACTTGGAGCAGACCTGCCAGGAAGTCTTAAACTCTTTGAAACCTTCCTCCATAGTTTCCAACCCTCAATGACATTCATTTCTGTGCTAGGCAAACAGTAGGTGCACAGTAAGTCCTTTCTTGGTGAATGTGCAGTATTCACATTTGTGTAGGTGATATTCCCTGTTTAGAAACAGATTAAATACTCAAGAGTGATTAGTGATTATAATCATCACTAAATTCCATCAGCTCACTTCACACATAATAGAAAATTCTGTTCTTTCTGTTAACAATATTAAGAGATGTTTGCAAGTGAAAAGAATGGGTCCCCTCCCCAGAGTCAAAATCCCTCCTACATTTGTTCAATAAGTATTTGTTGGGTCCTTACTATGTACCGGTATTTATTCTAGGTTCTTGAGAATGATAAATCAGTGAACAAAAGAGAGGACAATTCCTGCCTTTGTTGAGCTTATGTTCTAGTGGGTACACAGACAATAAACAATAGACATAATAAATAAGTGGATGGATGATATAGTATGTTGGAAACAAGGAGAAGAATGTTACTGGAACTGAGGGCAAAACACGTACTCCATTATTTGGATTTGGCTTTTACTCTGAGTGAAATGAAGAATCTTTGGAAGGTTTTGAACAGAGGGACATGATCTAACTTGCATTTTATTTTTTACTTTTTTAAAGATTTTATTTATTTATTTGAGATAGAGAGAGAGAGCACGAGCTGGGGTGGGGGGCAAAGGGAGAGGGAGAAGCAGGCTCTCCACTGAGCAGGGAGCCCAACACGGGGCTCGATCCTAGGACCCTGGGATCATGACCTGAGCAGAAGGCAGATGCTTAACCGACTGAGCCACCCAGGCACCTCTAACTTGCATTTTAAAAGGCTCTCTTGGACTGCTCTGTTGAAAATAAACTGCAGAGGTTGGGGGTTGAGACAAGACAGAATCAGTGAAATCCATCAGTAGGTAGCTATAATACATGGAGGCAAGGGCCAGAGTGGTAGCAGTGGAAGGGGTAAGAGGGACACATTCTGGATATGTTTTGAAGGGACAGCCATCAAGATTTCTGATGTATTGGGTAAGAGAAGAGATGTTAAGGATGACTTCAAGGTTTCTGCCTGAGCAACTGTGAACAGGATGGACCAGGTAGAGCAAGATAGAGGGGAAGATCAAGGGTTCAGTTTGGGAAGTATTGAGTTTAAGACGTCTGTTAGATACATGAGCAAAGATGTTGAGAAGGCAGTGAGATTTACCCTAGAGATATTTGGGAGTCATCAGCATATAGATGGTATTTCAGGCTATGAGACTGGATACGATTAGAAAGGGATTAAGTATAGATGGAGAGAAGAAGACCAAGGACTGGCCCTGGGGGATATCAACATTAAGGGGTCAAGGAAAAGAGAAGAAACCAGCAATGGAGATTGAGAAGGAGCAACTACTAAGGTAGATGTAAAAGCAAGAAGGTGTGGTATCCTGGGCAGTGTGTGAAGAAAGTTTATCAAGGAGAAGGTGGTGAACAACTTTGTTAAATGCTGGTAATTCAAGAAAACTGAGAACTGAAATGGCCATTAGCTGAATCATTGGTAACTGGCGAGAGGAGTTTTGGTGCAGTGTTGTGGGGGGTGGGGGGGAGGTGCGTGCAAAGTGTTATGGGGATATGAGAAAAGAGGCACCGAAGAGAGAAAGAAAAAACAATTTTGCTGCAAAGCGAGCAAAGAGTTAAAGGGGTACATAGCAGGGGAAAGAGGGACAAGAGGAAATTTGCATTTGTTTTTTATTAATGAGTGAAAAAATGAGAATAGCATATTCATGATGAAGGTAATGTAAGGGAGAAAGGAAAGAATTGCTAGAGCAACGTTCTTGAGTATGCAAGGAAGCATGCCTTCTAGTACATACATAGGGCATGAAAAGATCATCTATGCTTAATAGGAAGGAAAGCAGAATATATAGGTACAGATGCTGGCAGGTGGGGAAATGGGTGGTGGAATCTGGAAGTTCTCTGATTGCTACCATTTTATAGTGACACATGAAGCAAGGTCATCTGCTGAGTGCTGGCTCTACTTTCAAAATATATCAAGAATCCAATCACTTTCTCATCATTTCAGCTGCTACCATCCTGGTCCAAGCTATCAACTGTCACCCAGAGTTTTGCAAACGGGTCTACGGACTGGTCTCCCTGCTTCTGCCCTTGCCCCACCACAGATGTTATATTAAAACATAAGTTCATCATGTGAGTCTTGTGCTCTAATCCTCCAATGGCTTTCTATCTTACTCAGACAAAAGTCAAAGTTGTTGTTTCCTTTCTACCTTCCTTCTGCAACCTCACCTCCTACTACTCTCCTCCTCACACACTCTGTACCTTCCCTACCAATCTTCTTGTGCCTTGAACCCACCAGTCATGCTCCTTTCTAAGGACCTCAGGACATGCTCTTTCCACTGTCTGGTATGTTTCAGTGTGGCTTCTTTGACCACATTCAAATTAAAACTCATATTCCCTACATTCCCTATCTCCCCTCCCTGCTCTATTTTTCTTATGGCACTTACCAACGTCTACCATACAACATATTTAATTTACTCATTCAGTTTATTATTTGGCTTTCCCCATTGGAATGTAAGTTCTGGGTAAGCAGGGACTTGTACTCTGTTGTTTATAATGCTCTCCCCAATGCCTAGAATATCACCAGGCACATTCTTTTAGAATGAATGAATAAATTTCAGAACTATGCTGTGATGCCAGGGCCTATTGTGATCACTCCACAGAGACGAAATGTGCCTTCCACCAAAATTTGGTTTGACTGTTGACATTGAGGATGCCACACACGCACCAGGAGAGCATGAAAAGGTTTGTTACTCACATAATGTGGCTTCCTGGGTAGGGTAGGACTCTCTCCCACGCTGGTCTCAAAGTGGCATTAGAGAGTGGAGAAATGATACTGGCCTGGGCTTTTCGTGTGGGTAGGAGGTGAGGCTGGGGTGAAGCTTCCCATGCACAGGGCAGGCCTTGTTTAGTTTGAACCTCCTGCTAGTGCCAAGGGAGGGAGCATGTGCACTTTCTTACCAGCTTGCCCAGATATAGGGCAGAAGGATAAGGGAGTGTGATGGTTGGCTTGAAAACTGGTAGCAGTGAAACATCATAAATGGAGTCAGACTCTTTACTACAGGACCCATTGCAAGTAGAATCGTTAGTGTGTTTCATGTTCTCTGACTCTACCTGGGACGTAGCACATCACATCTGTGAGGGATCTCAGGGCTCTAGGCAAATTGTTTGATTTTCCAGATGAAAATGACTGAGTACAATTTCACTATATTGTCCTGTCTTTGCAAATTCCAGTGGAAGTTGGCTCAGAGGCTGGCTCCCCTGTGGCAAGCCCTAGGGCTGTAAGTTCTTAAAAACAATCTTGAACAAGGTTTTAAACTCTTGACTCTCAGAACCTTTGTCTATAAAATTCTTTTTTTTAATTTTATTTTATTATGTTATGTTAATCACCATACATTACACCATTAGTTTTTGATGTAGTGTTCCATGATTCATTGTCTGCATATAACACCCAGTGCTCCATTCAGTACGTGCCCTCTTTAACACCCATCACCAGGCTAACCCATCCCCCCACCCCCCTCCCCTTAAAACCCCCAGTTTGTTTCTCAGAGTCCATAGTCTCTCATGGTTCGTCTTCCCCTCCGATTCCCCCCCTTCATTTTTCCCTTCCTTACTATCTTCTTATTTTTGACTTATAATGTATTATTTGTTTCAGAGGTACAGATCTGTGATTCATCAGTCTTACACAATTCAGAGCGCTCACCATAGCACATATCCTCCCCAATGTCCATCACCCAGCCACCCCATCCCTCCCACCCCCCACCACGCCAGCAACCTTCAGTTTGTTTCCTGAGATTAAGAATTCCTTATATCAGTGAGGTCATATGATACATGTCTTTCTCTGTTTGACTTATAAAATTCTTATATAGTAATATCTACTGTGCTTTTGTTAGAGTCAAGGTTTCAATGGAAGAATGTTTATAAAGTGCCAGCACATGGTAGTGCTCTGTGAATAGTCATTGCTAGAGTCAGAACATAGTACCCTCTAGCTAAAAACCATTTGCTCTGGGCATATTTAAGAGAACACTCTTAAACTGTGTAAGATAGGTAGAATATAATTATTTCATTCCATTTCAGAAGGAACTACTTACTTTATTTTCCTTTTTTTTTGCCTACAAACTCTGTCAAGGTATAAAACATTCCCATTACCCTTGGAAGTTCACCAGTGTTCCTTCCCAGGTACCCACCCTCTCCAGAAGCAACTGCTCTTTTAATTTCCGCCACTCTCTGGTAGTTTTGCCTGTTCTAGAACTTCATATAAATGGAATTATACATTATCTACTCTTTTGTATGTAGCTTCTTTCATCTAGCATAATGTTTAGGAGATTCATCCATGTTGTATGTATTAGTAGCTCATTCCTCTTTATTACTGATTAGTATTCCACTGTAATTCACGATGAATATCATCATATATTTTAAAGAACCAAAACCAGGCATGGCCTCCAAAAGGAAACAATGCCCCGTTATTGCCAGGTTCTGAACAATAGGGTGGAGAAATGGACACACATCTGAAGGAGAGTTGGGTGTACAGAAAATTTCATCTACCTCTCTCAGTTCCTCATTTTGCTTTGCCTGGGAATTCCCTAGCAGAGATGTTACAGAGCTTTAAAGAGTTTGACTTCTCAGTTGAGATGGTGTCAATTCCTCATAATTTTGTTTTCTACTTTAGTTCTTTTTTTTCAAAGTGCTATTTTTTTCCTTTTTCTTTTATTGTAGGCTTTGCACTTCTGGGAGGACACCCTTGTTTTCTTACCACACAAGATATTCATTTGGGTGTGAATGAAAGTCTCACGGACACAGCCCGGTTTGTAAATCTTCTCTTCAAAGCTTATTTCAGAAGTGATGAATTTCAAAAAGAAAATATGCTTCTCTTTAAATAAGGTTTTTTTTTCCCCTCTCAGCATCCTTTGTACTGTTCTCTGTTTCCTCCTTTCTCTCTTTACCTGATGTTCTGAATGCTTCTCCCCTCATCCTCTGGTCACTTTCTATCTGTTAAGATAATTTTTTTCTCAGCAATTTGAAGAGGTTTCTGATTATAAAATTTCAAACTTAGGGAAACCTAGAAAGCGTCAAGTGTAACTCATATTTGACAGTTGAAGAAATAGATGTCTAGGGAAACTGACATGGTCAATGATTCATAACTTAGTTAGCATCCCAGAGCAGGTAATACTATTAACAGCTAACATTTATTGAGCATTTATTATGTGTTAGGCATTGTTCTAACTCACTTAATCCTATAACAACCCAAATAGATTGGCATAATGAGGTGAAACAACTTAATTAGGAATGTACTAGCTACTATAACATAAAATCTCAAAATGTCAGCATTGGGTGTTATACGCAAACAATGAATCATGGAACACTACATCAAAAACTAATGAGGTATTGTATGGTGATTAATATAACATAATAAAATAAAATAAAATAAAAATGTCAGTGGCTAACATGGTGTGGATATTCCTGATTGGTAAGAGGGAAGGATTAATTATTCATGTGGCCCTTCAGGGACTCTGAATGAGAATGGCTCTACCATTTTCAGCGTGAGCCTCCAAGGTTGTTCTGGGTGTTAACATCCCATCAGGACCTAGGGGAAGAGAGGATGGAGATGGGATACTTGCTTCAAACTCATCTTAGCAGAGAAGTGACATAATCACATCCACTCCCATTCTATTGGCAAGTACTAGTAGCTCACCCCTACTCAGATGAAAGTAGAAGTAGGAAAAGCCTCTTAACAATTATATTATAAAGACTGAAACATAGGCCCCCTGATTCCCCATGCAATGCTGTCACCATTATATCATGTTTGGTTGAGAAATACAAAGCAAATGTCTTTGTTTAAATATTTCGCCCTTGATATCAAAGACTAATGACTTTTTTTCCCTGAAAATGATGTGCCATCAGTAACTCCTCGCAACACTACTTTTTATGGTACCTGCTCTAGTATATACTAAAGAATCTACCCCATTTGAATTGCTAAAGAGATTTGAAATAACTCATCTTTAAGTCTTTTAGTGACATTATTTCAGATGGACAATGTTAGTATTAAGAAGTGTGGCATTCATCTTCTGGATGCATGGAACTAAAAGAATAAATAAACATAAATGAGTTTTTTTTTTTTCCAACTATGCTGCCACTGACTGGGATTACATTTGCCTACTAATTCTGCTTCCACAAAAGTAAACTATACTTTACTCAAATACAAATATTACAGGCTGGTTAAGGGATGAAGCCAGGGGCACATCCAGGAGAGAAGTTTCAGTAGGGATCCTCCATATAGAACCAAGAGAACGATGGTGAATAAATCCTGTGTGAAGTAGTGGTTGGAAAAGGATAAAGTTGGAGGAATAGCTGAGCATCCAATAAAGAGTTAAGGAGTGCATATTGGCAGCCAGAAAGAGGTCAGGACCCAGAAATCAGTGGAGTGGGACCCAAAAGCAAGAGACAAATAACCAAGCATGGGTTGAAAGCTGAGAATGAGTATAAACGTGTTCTTTGCTGTGCTTGCTGTCCACACAACAATTCCCACTTCAAGTCCTTAGTTAGAGGAGCTCTACACAGAACCTGAGAAAAACAATCTGCTCACAAGTTCTAACATAATTGGAACCTTTTAGTCTATATAATTAGTTCCATTGCTACATAGATATATGGATACATAAAAGTGGATCCATAGAATTCATTCTGATCGTTCCATCTTATCCAAAAGACTCTGAATAAAAATAATAGCTCCTCCCTAAAGGATGGGTTTCTTATACTATTATCTCTAAATCTTTGTAAAAACCTTAAAAATTATATATTATTGGCCCAGCTCTATAGACGACAAAACCACAACTCAGAAAAGAAATGGAGCTTAGCAGCTAAATCAGCATTTAGATTTTGGGGGAAACTATGAGTCACTATATAGAGCTAAGGAGCTTCCCTGCTTTTTTCTTTTTTTTTTTTTAAGGCGATGCTGTTTTGACTACCCCTACTACCTCTTATATATAGCTCACAAGAGGGGCAGTGAGATACATTATGGAAAGCATTGGCTTGCATGTCATGAAGTCCCCAAGACCACCCCCATGTTTGATGATTCACTAGGAGGATTCATGGACTCAGCATATAGTCGTAATACTCACAGCTATGATTTATTACAGTGGAAGTATAAGCACAATCAATGAAGGGAAAATGCACATGTAGCAAAGTTCAAGGGAAACCAGGTGCAAGATTCTAAGAGTCCTTTCCCAGTGGAGTCACTCAGGACATGTTTAATTCCCTTAGTAATGAGTTGTGACAACACCTGTGAAATGTTACCAACCAGGGAAGCTCCTTAGAGACTCAGTACCCAGGGTTTTTATTGGGGGCTGATCACATAGCATCCTCTGTTTGACATATACCCAAATCCCGACTCTCAGAAGGAAAGCTGGTGTTCACTTTAAACCATATTGTTTATAAGAAAAAAAATTTAGGCACAGTGAGCCACTCTTATCAGTCCTGGAAACCCTCCCCAAATCAAAGTTCCCAGATGCCATCCAAAGGCCAACCTTACATGCAGGCCTTTCTTTAAAAAAAAAAAAAATTATTTATTTATTTGAGAGAGAGAGAGAGAGTAGGAGGATGGGCAGATGGGGAGGATCTCAAGCAGACTCTGCTCCACGCTGAACGCCGAGCCTGACACCAGGTTCGATCTCACAACCCTGAGATCATAACCTGAGCCGAAATCAAGAATCGGACGCTTAAGTGACTGAGCCACCCAGGCGCCCCGACACAGGCCTTTAAAAGGCTATTAGTCAGGCATGGATTGAAAATCACAAAGCTTGAGATCTAGTCCAAGCTTTGCCACTTACCTACTGTGACTCATAGCTGAAAACTTCCCTGGTTTATTTTCTATAAGATGAGGGCATTCTGAAAACTTCCCTTAGTTTACTTTTCTATAAGATGAGGGCGTTCTGATCCTTAACGTCCAATTTATACTCTCCAGTGCATGTGAGTGTATTAGATATCAAGTGGTGGTCCTTACACAGAGGTGTATCCCAATGCAGAAAAATGCAGAATTCTGGGCCCCACACTCAGAAATTCTAATTCTACAGTGAGAGCTCAGATCGTTTTGAGGAATCTATATTTTAACAAGCTCCTCAAATGATTCTTTTGCATGGGTGGCTGGACCACACTTTGCGAAACCCTGAATTAGAAGGCTGTGTAGTGATCCTGGGCTGTTGTGCTGTCAATCTATGGTAGTGTGTGAGTGAAGGGAATGGTAAAGAAGGGTCAGCTAATAAAATATGTATATGGTTTCATGATAACTGATTGTGAAGGGTACATTGATAGTGGAGGCAAAATGATTTCAGAGTTGTTATTCTTAAAATATATGTGGACACATTAGCAGAAGCAGAAAAATGAAAGGAGTTTCTGCTTTGGAGAGCAGGTGCTAGATTAGGTATTAGATATGTTGCATTAAAGGCTGAACCTCCAATGCAAATGTCCACAAGCCACCGGAGATAGACCTTGGGTGAAGTTGAGAGCTGGATAAATAGAACTGTAAGCTCAGTGGTAGAAAATGAGCTCCAGAATCTCTCTGTGGGAGAACTGCAGAAAGCTGAACCTTGAGGACAGGTGCAGTTAGGGAAGGGCAGGGAGGAAATGCTTAGGGTACAAGGAGAATAAGGATAGTGCAATAACAGAAGAGGCTGAAATGGGCAATGGGGATGTCAGAAAGAGGGGCACAGTAGCTACTGTGGAATGTGACTTTCTTCTGTGTACCCCGTTACTGCTTAATCTGCCAAAATATCTGACAAACAAGATATGGCTGAGATTCAGAAATTCAATAAATCTAAATTGAAGAAGACAAGAGAAATCCACTGCCTTTCACAGAAGCAACTGAACTGGAGAAGCAAGGAAGTGAATCTTAATGACATCTACCCTGCCAATATGCACCGTACAATCCATAGCAATTGCCTCTTTGCTTTCTGTGGAAGTCCAACTTTGTAAGATGCAGAGATTGGATGATGTTTAAATGACAGTGCTGGCCTTTTTAAATCAAGAGAATAGTGCACGCCTCACACTGATTGATGGTGTTGCTTCTCCATCTGCCTGTCTGGCTACTTTGGGGGCCTGGTGGAATGAAAACAGTGACTGCCCATTGGTGAAAGGAGAACCTAAGGGGGAATACAGTGAATGTGGCAACAGGAAAAAAAAAAAAGGCGGCAAAACTGGGCTAGTCTCCTAAAAGCTGTTAAGTGCAATTTCCAAAGTGTTAATTATTTAGTCAAATGATTTAATTATTTGTTTATTCAAAAATATTTATTGAATGCCTAGTTTTTCTTCCAGGAATTGTTTTAGCACTGACAATAAAATGCTGATCAAATCAAACAAAATCCTTGTTTGAGTGGAAATTATAGTTCAGTGGAAGAGGGCTTTCACTAAACAAAGAAATAAAGCATGAACAGAATAGCAGGTTGGGATACGTGCTATGATGAAGCAAAAGCAGGGTGATCTGTGGGTGGGGTGGGGCTGACTTTCGATAGCATGGTCAGGAAAGGCCTCTCTCCGAGGAGCTGACAGTTGAGAAGTGACTGAAAAGGCAGAGGCACGTATGCAAACCTGTGGGAAAATGCATCGCAGATAGAAAGAACTGCTGCTACAAAAGCTTAAGGCAAGAACAAGTTTAATGTATCCAGGAAGAGAAGGACAGCAAGCAATGTTTTAAAATTTGCAAGTAAACATATTTTAGATCTTCAGATAATTAAAAAAGTACCCTTACAAGTTGGTCCTGTCTTAGCCACCAAAGGAAAGATAAATCAGACCAAGAAGTACCTAAATACACATTCA